CCCAACGTGAGTATACATGAAGCAACCAAAAGTACCCAGCAGTTTCACAAGTATAACCCACATCCTCAGGAAGTCCTAGAGATCGTGCAAGCCTCTCAACCTCACTAAGTAATTCTAGCCTTCGAACAAGCATTGCATTAACACGGCCTTGCCGGCTGAAGTCTAGATCAGTTGCTAGTTCTTGCTCACCTTGACCCAAGCGAAGAAGATAGCGTGCAGGAACATCCCTCTGAAATACAAAATACAGGCATGTATTAAGAAATTTACCAGCCAGTGAGAACCCGAAGCAAAGATTGAAATTTGGTCAACATAGTTGAATTTGTTATCATATAATCTGTTAAACATCATACCTCCATTATCTTCTCAAAAAGATCATTCAGAGCCTGATTTGAATGAGTAATAATTAGTGTCCTCTGTGAAGGACAATTGTGATAGAGGACATTCAAGATCTGTACAGCTGTGTCAGTCTTTCCTGTACCAGGTGGACCTACAACCATTGTTAGTCCAGGCTCTATACCTGAGATGATTGCACCAACCTGCAGAAAAGGAAATAGTAAAGATAATTAGTCAAAAGGTAAATAATAGATTAATCTCACGGTTAAATAGTGTTTAGGATTGCTGAGATAAAGGTAAAAGCCTTTCAGCAGCTTAAAGCCCCTGGATACTAATTTTAAGAAAAAAATAAGTACAAGCACTTATTTGTTTGTGGTAAAGATGCTCATCTTAAAAAATGGTATTTGTTGCATTCAAGAAAAACACATGTATGTGGATCAATAAGTAACTAAACATGTTAAAAAATAAATATTGAAACTCAATATACCAAAAACTTGGAAAAAATGAGGGATGCTCGCTTTTTTCTGGCTAAAATTGCTTATTGGAACATAATAAGAAACCTAGATTTTATGATACCAAACAAGTAAAATGGAAAAAGTTAGCTAAACTGCTTATGGGAATCAAAGAAACAATCACAGCACCCACTTAGTCATACAACTTATGCAACCAGCTTATGTGCTTGATGAATAAGTATTTATCCTTGCATAATGACAAATACAAAGAAATTAATAAGGCAACACACTCTAAGTCGAACAAAGAAGTTCATAAGGAAAATGGGATAACTATCAAAGGAAGAAAGCGAATAATTGCAAACATAAAGAAGATAAAGAGTCACATCGACAGATGGAATGGAAGATATGTTAACAAAATACTTAAAGAATAAAATTCTTCCTTAACCGTCCACTTTGCTTTACAAAAGGTAATGAGTTAACAGAATAAAATTAAAGATTACAGTTGATACCATAATTAAATTCTTCAATATTACTTAAAGAATTGCTTAGCACCTGTGTGGGTGTAAATCTGACTGAATTTTGTTTTGGTTGATCTTGAGGATAAGGACCTGGGTCCGGAGGAATGTATGCTTCAACAATAAGGTTTTCTTTCTCAGGTAACCCATCCACCATTTTCACATCATTTATTGAATTATCAACAGAATTCTTATTTCCTGGAAGTGCATTAGCATTGCCTTTCAGCATCCTTGGAAGCCTAATTCGAAAAGGTGGCCTTGGATCAGAGTTCTCTGAACCATCAGGATTTATGAAAGAAACCTGTAAGCAGAATTCATTAGAATTGCTAGGAAAAAGAAAAAAAAAAGATATGAATAAGTAATTCTCCGCTTCTATAGGGAAGTAATATCTCAACCTGAAAATCAGAAAAACACTTTCGCAGATGATCTGAATCAAGAAATGTATCTTTAAAATCTACTATTTCCAAAAGATCAGGCATGTTGGTCCACTGTGCTGCAGAAGGATTTCCATAACCCAGAAATATGTTGTGCAACCATTTAGGAACAATACAATATTCATTCATAAGATCTCTTATAGATTCTAAGATAGCCTTAAAGTTGTTTTCTTTAGGTTTCCTCCTCATCAAAACATTAAATGTTCCGTAAACGTCTTCTGCACCTTTATCGGCAATGTCGGTGACATCCATGTGGTATTGTGCAGTATCTAGAGCAATAGTCACAGTCCTCAGATCACCTTTTGGGGGCTTCCACTCATCCCTTTTAATTCTTCCAGTGAAATCATTCATAAGTGTTCCCTCCTCATCACGGATTTCAATAATTTCACATCCACGAACATATTGAAGCCCAAGCTTTTGTGGCACGCTAGCTTTTGCAGCTTCCTCAGCACTTAAAGGCTCAAAAGAAGGACGAATAGAAAGTAAAAATAGAACATCATGTTCTTTAAGGGCATTCCATTCTGATCTTATTTGAGCTCTGTAACTTGAAATGCTAAACGTAACTTCAGCTGTCACAGATGATGGCTTGACTTCTCCAATATTTGGCTGCTTTACCTCAGTGATTTTGAAATCCTTAATTGGTACAGCCATACGTGACCAACCACGAAATGCAGTTTCTCCTTCATTATTGATGTAAGCAAGGAGATGTGGTATAGCTTCTTGAATATCTTCACGGATCTCATAGGTAGATTCAAGTCGAAAGAGATTGAAATTTCTTAGGAGATAATCATGCAAAGTTAAGAACTGCAGATTAAGCTTCGGAAGAGCAAGACAACCTTCCCCAGAGTAATTAATGCTTGGTACAAGGCTTTCATCCCACATAATCTGTTCATTCGGGTAGAGTGGAAGAGCATTTATAGCTTCTTTTTGAGACTGTTGTCTTTCAAAAAATGACACCATGACCTCAACAAGAAAATCAACACTATCTGACCAAGGATCATCCTTTGAAACCAGTTTAAGCTGCAAGAAAGATAAAATTAGGTAAAATAGAAAAATGTGTACCAGCAAGCAAGCTCCAAGATAAAGAGAACAAGTACCATTTCATTATAAAACTAAATTGCAACTCATGCTATCAACACAAAGTAGTGAAAAGTATTTTATGTTCCTCTTCTAAATGACCGGTTTCTCAATTTCAGAAATTTGGGGTAAAAAATGATTTCGGGTAAGTAGAGTTTGAAACCAACTCATCCTGTGAAAAGTATGGAACTTGAGAAAAATTAAATGAGAAACCTTTTAGAAAAAAAAAACAAGAAAAAAAAAGAAAAGAAAACATTATTATAAACAAGGCATCAAAGGGGTGCCACTGACAAACAAAAAATAACAGACGAATGAGAGAGTGAATTAGGTCCAAGAGATCCTCAGCACAACATATAAGACCCTCAAGACAAAAAATACAGAATTAAAAGAGAAAATATACACAATAGAAGAGAGACTCAAAAGAAAATAGGGGATTAAGGTGCAAAAATAGAGAATAAATAGACAGAAAAGACAATCTAGAAAGGACACGAAGGACATAAACAATAACTAAAATCCTAGAAAGAACTTTTAGCTCAACAGTGTCAACTACTGTCTTTGCCAATAAATTAAATGATGACGATGATGATGATGACGATTACAAAATCTCCTTGATAGCAAAAAAAAGTTATTCCAATTTAAGATATAATCTGCATCAGTATTTCTAGACTTGTAAATGCTTGTG